TTGTTGGCCCTCGTAATCAGAGCATTCTTTGATTCTCTTGGTACCAGACAGTTGGGTTTCCTTGGGGGAGGGGGCCCTTTTGAGGCTGCCGTGTGGCAGAAGACCGAGAGGAATATGTGTGGCATCTCGCTGGGTCCACGGAGGGGCTGAGGGGATGGTAGGTGGATTCCCAGGCCCGGCTTTGCTGGTCTCAAGGCTGTTACCACAGGCACCCCCAGGCCCGACACCAGGTAATTGCAGATGACAAACTCCAAATCACCTACCCTTAGGCTTGGAAAGCACCTCCATGATTTCCAGATACCTGTCTGTGGCCTGGCTGCCGCAGAATCACCTGAGCAGGATTTACATTTGGCTTGGCCACCGGGGTGAGTCCTCACTTTGGTGACACGAAACTGAAGGAAACACAAAATCCCTAAGTGTTTTCTTCTAGGCTATAGGATTATGACTGATTTTATTGTCTTCTCTGTAACTCCTTGTATTTTCCAATTTTTCTACAGTTAACATGAATTGCTTTGATGATTAAAACGTACGATGAATGATACCTCTGATTTTTAAAATGTCACCGAGGGTGCTTGTCCAAAACACAAGTTCCTGGGCCCCTTGCCTGGAGGTTCTGACCCAGTTGGTCTTGGTGGGGCCCAGGGACTGCATTTTCAACAGCACCTCGGTTGGCTCTGTCGACGTGGTCAGGTTTGGAAACCACTTAATCCAACACCCTCGTTTTACTGACAGGGATAGTGAGGGCTTAGAGACAGGCTGGTGGGAGATCCCAGCCTAAAGTCGGGTCCTCTGATTCCTGGTCCAGTCATCTCCCCACTGTCCAGAGTGTCTTCCTTGGCCAGATCATGAGCCCACGGACTCTCCCAGGCAGACGCAGGGACCACAGATCCTTCCTGAGGGTCTGTCTGTGTTCCCCACCTCCTGTACCTAGGTCTGCCTCACATAGAAGATTCCCAGGTCTCAGGACAGGTGGAAGCAGGGGCTTCCGGCTACCTCTTTGTAAGAGTCTGGATCTTTCCTGCCCTTTCTCTATGTGGTTAGAGTTTCCCAGTCCTTTCCCTGTTGCTACACACTCTGCTGTTTGGAAATTTCCATGGCGGCACACACCGTTGTGGGGAAAGCCCCCTTCTGCCAGTAGAGATTGAAGCTCACATTAGATTCATAATACAGCTAGAAGGTTCTCATGGCATTAACTGATCCAGCCCCATCATATTATAGTTAAGGAAACAGCCCTGAGAGGGAGAATGGGTTTGTTAAGGTCACATGCTAGTTCAGGGCAGAACCAAGATTAGAACCTGAGTCTCAGAGCTCCTTCAAGGACATCTCAGTCTGAGTCCAGCTGCTCACCCACAGCCACCCTAGGCAGCTGTTCTGGAATGTGCAACCTTGAGAATGGCTGTGTTACAGCTTGAGGCTGGTGTCCAGAAAAGCGATGTTTGAGTCTTGTCCTGCTGGCCGGTGGGACTGCCTCCCCGTCTGACAGTGCTCTAACCACATCTGCTTGACTCCTGGGATATATATATATGTATTTTTTTGTCTTTTCATTTTCTTTCTTTTTTTTTTATTGTACTTTAGATGAAGGTTTACAGAGCAAACTAGTTTCTCATTAAACAATACACGTATTGTTTTGTGACATTGGTTGCCAACCTCACGACATGTCAACACTCTCCCTTCTCGACCTTGGGTTCCCTATTACCAGCTTTCCTGTCCCCTCCTGACTTCTTGTCCTTGCCCCTGGGCTGGTGTGCCCCTTTACTCTTGTTTTATGAGGCTGTGTAATCTTTGGCTGAAGGGTGATCCTCAGGAATGACTTCATTACTGAGCTAAAAGGGTGTCCGGGGGCCATACTCTTGGAGTGTCTCCAGTCTCTGTCAGACCAGAAAGTCTGGTCTTTTTTTGTGTGTGTGTGTGAGTTAGAATTTTGTTCTACATTTTTCTCCAGCTCTATCCGGAACTCTCTATTGTGATCCTTGTCAGAACAGTCAGTGGTGGTAGCCAGGCACTGTCTAGTTGTGCTGGACTCAGTCTGGTGGAGGCTGTGGTAGTTGGAGTCCATTTAGTCCTTTGGACTGATCTTTCCCTTGTGTCTTTGGTTTTCTTTATCCTCCCTTGCTCCAGACGGGGTGGGACCAGTGGAATATCTTAGATGGCTGCTCACAAGCTTTTAAGACCCCAAACACTACTCACCAAAGTAGAATGTAGAACATTTTCTTTATAAACTATGTTATGCCAGTTAAGCTATGTTCTGTTGGGATGTTTTGAGGTGATTTGCTACTGCTGTAGTGAAGGGGGTGTAGAGTTACAGAGAAAGGTGGACGGTGGCCCTTATAACATGGTGGTGATAAGTGAGGACATTGCTCTAGAGCCAGGTGGTCTGGGTTCATATCGAGGCCCTGCACTTACTGGCTATGTGACAAGTTACCTAACCTCTTTGTTTTCTCATCTATAAAACGTGGCTAATAAGAAATGCCTACCTCATAGGGCTGCTGAGAGGAGCAAATGAGTTTATGCATACGGGGCAGTGAGTGCTTCTCACGCTATAACCCAAAGACCAGCCCGTTGCTGTTGAGTCGATTCCAATATGGCATCCCCATGAGTTACAGAGTAGAACTGCCCCATAGGGTTTTCTTGCCTGTAATCTTTACAGAAGCAGATCGCCAGGCCTTCCTTTCACTGTGCCGCTGGGTGGATTTGAACCACCAACTTTTAGATGAGTAGCCAAGCGCTTAACCGTTTGCGCCACCCAGGGATCTTCTTACATTGTAACGTGCCTCAGAATCATCTGGGGAGTTTGTTAAATGCGCATTCTAATTCAGTAGGTCTGCATTTTCTAACGAGGTCCCCGATGATGCTGAGGCTGCAGCTTCATGGAACACACTTCGAGAAGCAAGGATGCAGAACACCCAGAACAGAGCCTGGCACACTCAGTGTTGTCGCTTGTAGGATTGTTAATGGTTTTGCTACTTGGCCTTTTCAAAGAGGCACCTGAGGAGGCTTGGAATTCCAGCCAACCCGTCTCTCCAGGGGTCAGCGTCTTCCTGGATTCTCCTTCTGTTCCACTGTCCGACCTTTGCACCTGTCCGGAGCAGCAGCTGCGGGGAGTGGGGAGCAGGAGGAGGGGGTGGCTCTACCCAGCTGCTGCAGGGCTGAATGTTTTCTGAATCCGTTTTCACAGCGCTTTCCTCTAAGCAGCTTTGGTTAAGGCGGGTGTGTTTCCTCTTTTTACTCATCTTTGTTTACAAAACACAAGGAAGCCATCAGTCTCCATTGTCATAGTCCCAGTTGTCAGAGTAGGCCAGGCGTCCTCCTGGGGCATACCCTCCTGGGGCATACCCGACTTCCCTTCTCCTAGCAGTAGTGGTGCCTCCACACTTCTAGGTTGTCTTCCAGTTAACCAAAAGGTCGGCAGTTCAAATCCACCAGCCGCTTCTTGGAAACCCTATGAGGTAGTTCTGTCGTAGAGGGTCACTATGAGCTGGGATCGACTTCACGGCAACAAGTTTGGTTTTTCCGCAGGGGAAGGAAGAGTGCTGTTGCCCTGGACAGTGTGGGGGTGGGGGGCATTCTGTGTTCACTTGGGTTGTCAGGGCCCTCAGGTCAGCCTCGAGAGACTCTTCTTTCCCCTCCTGTCCTCTGTCTGTCTCTTCATGGCCTAAGGCAGAGTGACGGAACCCAGCAGCCTGCATGGTTGCCTGGGGAAAGGTCAGGAAGGCGGGTGGCCAGGTGTCACGGTGATGCTGTGGGAGTCCAGGAAGCCTGGGCTCTCTCCAGTTCCCCGCTGACCTACTCTCTGGCCCTCCCACCTGACAGGGAGTGGCCTGGTGGGGTTGGTGCTGTGTTAAAGACAGCCCAAGAGAGGGCCCCTGCTGTGCCCAGACACCTCCCATAAACTCTCTTGCTGACCGGCCCACTGAAGGAATCCAGGTCTAGCCTGTGATAGCTCTTTTCTGCCCACTAGGTTTCCATTCTCCATCTACTGAGGACCAGTGGGGAGGGCCCCCACCCAGTCCTCCTGCCCTGACAGACAAAGAGAGAACAAAGACTCGCGTCTTCCAGCCTCGGGAGAGTCTTCCCCCTCCCAACACCCCTCAGTCCCCTCTGGGCCTCTGCTGGCCCCTGAGAAATGGTACCTGTGTGCGCGGGGCACCAGCCACAGCCCTGTGAGTCACTGACCCTTGAACTTTGCCCCCAGCTTCCCTGCGTGACAGTAGGACCTGGGATAACCTCCGGAACGTAGTGTGCATTGTTTTTGTTTTGTTTTCAAGTATGTTCTTGCTTAACGTTTAATTGGCTCCAGTCAGTAGGAGAGCACTCCAAGAGGGATTATTTATGGCTTACTGTCAAGAGCGGCTATAAAAAGGGCAGCCGGGAGCTGGAGATGCTGGGAAGGGAGAGGGCGGGCGCAGGGGTGTGTGTGTGTGTCTGTGTGTCTGTGTGTGTGCGTGTTTGCACTGGATGAAATCAGATTTTTGCTGCCTCAGCAGTGTGGTTTAAATTGAAGATTAACCCTTTGACCTTCATAGTGTCAAATCACTTGCAGATGGAGGCTCCCCCCTCCTTTTCCCCCTTGTTCTCTGTGTTACTTTGGAGTTGGGGGAGAGAGGGGGGCACGTCTTCTCTTTCTTTCTGAAGAAAGTTTGTTGTTCATGCAGCTGAGGTTGGAGGGCTCAGGAGCCAAACTGATTAAAAGCAGCACTTGGCTAAACTCTGGAAAATCCTGCAAGCAGGGGAAAAGTTTAATCCCCTTGTGCACAGCCCATAAAGAGCCTGGTCTTTTCTTTTTCATGTTAAAACGGTGATTGTTTTAGGAGAACTTCTCTTTCTGCTCCTCCTTGCCACTTCTCCCTTCCCTCCTTCCACCCCCTGCCCCTCTGCCGTACTGGTAGGCTTAAGGTGCCGGCCCTGAGAAATGGAGATTGAACTTTTATTGGAAATGATCAGGAGTCCCGGAAAGCTGTGTTTGGGAGTGACGGTGATTTTTCCTTCGTGTTTTCCTGCAGCACCAGCAGAACCGAAATCGCGCGTGGTGGCAGATCCTTCTCTTCCTATACAACCTGGCTGTGAACGGAGAAGAGAACAGGAATGGGGCAGGTCCTAGGTGAGACTGGGCTGCCCTCTTCACACGGAGCACCAGGAGCACGGTCTGGAACAGGAAGGACACCGGGGAGGACTGGCACTGTGTCTTGTGAAGTTGTTTTTTGTTGTTTTGTGTTTTTATTTTTGAGATTTCTTTCTGTGTGTACATAAGACATACCCAAATGGGACCTTCTTTTCCCTGTTCAAGGCCTCGACCAGGAACGGCGGCCTTTGTCAAACACTGTTGAAGGAAAGGCTGATGTGTCTGTGATGGTGAGACCTCCCAAAGACTCTGACAAGTAGATTCTTCAATCAGCAGTTGTCAAAGATGACTAGTTAGTGCTGTCCTCTGGGGAGTGCACTGTAGCTTTTCCCCAGGAACTCAGTGAAGAGAAAGGAGACTCAGTTAGCCTTCCAGTTCCACCAGACCCAGCAGTCTTCCACCGTGGATGGGGGCGGTGATCTCAACGGTGACATTGCTTTACCCCCACCAGGGCTTCAGCCAGGGACTTTCCAGCTGAGTATGGCAACTTCACTAGGCCGATCAGCCAGCTTCATGTCTGGGTTCTGATTTGGCCCAGCCAGTGCCCACTTCAAGGGCTCAGGGATTCTTGCCCAGCTCCTGTCATCTCCAGCAGACCTCAGGGAGGGTTGGGTTTCTCCAAGGACTCCTCAAACGTGCTGTTAAGTGAACCAGACTTCTGGGTAGGCCTCAAATCTGACCTGGTCTCGCTTGGAGGGCCCAGGATTGGTCCTGAGGTACAGAGCCACTGCCACTTCTGGCTGCCTCGGACCGGCTGGGTGTCAATCACGGATGCTCCGAATAGCCAGTCATCGTACTGTAGCCAGCAGCTTGTGCCTTTGTCGGCTCCTTCTTCAAAACACCCAGCCACCCAACTGCACTCCACCCCCCTGGAGGGCATAAAGGGACAGCTTTTGCAGTCTGGGAAATGTGGCAGCTGTCCCACCTGTGAGTAAGTCAGCCCTACAGGAACCCAGACGCCTTGGTTTCCTTGGAAACAACGTACCTCCTCCTCCTTACCCCATTCCTTTTTCACACCTAGTAGGATACAGGAAGAAGCCAGGACAGTGGTTTTGTCAGCTGAAATGTGTCTTTTAGAGTAACAGACAATGATTAGAGTGTGGAACCGTCAAAGCTGGGTACACATTTCCTGTCTTCCTCCAGCTTCCCGCTAGGCCAGAAGGCGAGCTCTGGAACTCAGCGGGACCACCGCTCCCTCTGTACGTCTTCTTTTCTCTCCCTGCTGGGGCACTAATGGAGAGAATTTAACGCAGCCTGTCTGGCAGGTCTGATAGCAGACCTATCTGAAAAGACACAGGGCTTCTGTTAACCAGACATCTAGGAATTAAATTATAATTTTTGCATTTCTAAGGAAAGATAACATTGGTGCTAATGGTGGTGAAGCAAGGCCCTAAGGAAAGGTGGCTTCCTTGGGCAGAGAAGGCCCCAGGGGCTACCCAAGGAAATTGGAGGAGGAATCCAAAGGGGACTCTCAAATCTGAACAAGCCCAAGCTTCTCTGATTCTGCAGAGAGGAGGTCTTCAATGCTGTTGAAGGGGGCATTGATCCGGATGTACAGTTGGGCAGTTGTTCGCTCGAAACAGCACACGCAGAGGGAGCTAGTGGAGGCTGAAGTCCCACCTGTGCTCTGCTAAGTTCCATGCCACGATGTAGGCTCTCTCTGCCCAGAGGAAGGGGTGCCTTTTCCTGTTTTGCACGATGGTGCCATATGGACTCACAGTGGCTCTGAGGAGGACATCAAACTGTGTATAAGCCTTTGTTTTGTTCTGCTTGGATGTCCTGGAGGTGTCACCTCTTTTTGGCCAGAATTATATTCTCAGGGTGCGTACCATGGTCTGTCTGCTACAAAGGGGAGTTCCTGCTCACAAGGAGAAGGAGCCCAGGGAACAGGCAGGAGGGCTGGTTCTGGGACACGCTGACCATTGTGACACCCGACCTTCCCTGCTTGTCTCCACACCGTTTTGTGATGTGTGTGTCTCCTCTCCTGGAGCAAGGCTGTGACCAGCAGGTTGCTGATGTGTGCTTGGCTGTGCACACAGGAAACCAGGACTACCCATGCTGGCCACTTTGAACCCTGCTTTGCAGACTTTCCACCTGACCTTTCCACACACATGCATAGGTGTGTGAGATCAAACGGTCTAGGCCTTGGCACTGAGGCACAGCCGTCAGCTTCAGAGACCTGGGCAGGCCCAGGCTGGATGCCCTGTGGCCTGCGCTGAGAACTGAACCCCAAGTTTGACAAGCCCATGGAACGCTGAGTCTGGGCCAGGTGGAGGGTGGTCTGACTGCATTGTCCATCCAGTGTGAGGCCAGGAACTCTCTCACTATCCTTAGTCAAGCCAGGGCAAAATTTAAAAGTGTCCCACTAGCTTTTACTCTCCCTCCCCCGCTTCCCCCCTCCAAAAAAAAAAAAAAAAATCCCAGGAGGGAGCTGGCAGAATAGCCCCAGGAGGGAGCGAGGTTCCTTCTGGCTGGCTGTTTTAATTGGCCTCATCATCTACACTGGTCCTTTCCCCCTCCCTGGTGAGTTGGCCAGAACCTTCAGCCTCAGGAGACAGCCCCGCTGCTGGGGCCCCTGCCCCCCCCCCACTCCCTCACCCCCCTCTTCCCCCAGCCTGGCTCTCTCCCGTTAGGGGGTGGGGAATCAGGTTTAGAAGGAGGGAGAGTCTGACCTGGGTCCTGACCTGTAACCAGCTAAATACTTGTGGGGCTTTTGTGACTTGCTGGGGTGGAGAGACTGAAAACCCCCCTCCTTCATGGAGAAATGCCCTGGAGGGCGGGAAGCTTGATACTCAACGGTCAGAACAGCCCTTCTAATTCAGAACCCCAGAGGAGAAGTCTCTAGAAGCCAGTAGACACAGCTGGGGAGGGACCCGCCCCCCGCCAGACATCTGACTCCCCCAGCGAGGCTGGAGGACGACTTAGCCTGGCCTCTGCTCTTTCAAAGTCTGGACCGCTGGAGAGCTGCCCCCCACCCCCGCGGCGGCCTTCTCTTGCTCAATCTGAGGTAGAAAAAGATCACCTCTGAGTGACCTCCAGCCCCCAGGGAGTAGGTCTGTGTCCAGAGCTCAGGAGGCCTGTTCAGAGGGGCCAGGCTGACCTGTCTAGCCCAGAGAAGCACGCCACCGCCCCGCCCCCGCAACCGGTCCTGGGCTCCGGGCCTCGGCATGGGGCGGGGAGAGGTTGGTTGGGACTCCAAGAGATTCGTCATCACCTGGAAGCCTCCCGGGAAGGGGGTGGGGGAGCCACTGTGGCTGTCCTGGTTAACAGGAGAGCCTGTCTCTTTTTGGGGGACTTGAAGGGGCAGAGAACAGCAGAAGCAAGAAGACTTGTGGTGCCGCCAGCCGCTCTACGGGGCTTCCTGCCAATCAGTGCTGCAAGGGCTGGAGGAAGCTGCAGGGTCCCTGTGTGTAGGCGGGGACCCTGGGGGAGAGGCCACTCTGGCTGGACTGTTTCAGGAAGGGGTTAACCTGTCAGCCTGCGAAGCCTCCAGGGGACACTGTGGGCAGTGGGCAGACTTACTGCTGGTGGGGACTTGAGTCTTAAACGAAAAGCAAAAGCAAGGCGAGCTCATCCGTACATACACCAGCATCCCGGGCGGAAGGTTCTGGTGCTTGCCAGGGGCTGCTGCCGGCTCCTGGGCCTCACAGCCCGGCTGCGCAGGTGGCTGCCTGTCCCTGCTCTGTGAGCACTGTCCAGCAGCCTGTCCCGTCCCTGGACCCACAGGTGCTGTCCAGGGGGAGACCCAGTGAGAATGTAGCATTTCCTTCATCCCCAGGTTAGTTGCCCTGGGGTCTCTGGACTCCTTGGCCTCTGGGAGAGGGACAAGGAAAGAGAGGGAGGGGTATGGGGACTTCTGTTGTTGTTACCTGTACAGACTATTTGACTTTGTGTTCCTCACATGCATATGTGTGTGTAGCTTTTCCTCATCAGTTGGTACAGTTGTTAATAAAACCATTTAAAGCAAAGCTGGTCTGTCCTTTTCAAAGTGTGGTGGAAATGCAAGATTGGTCAGACTCCAAAGTTGTTTCTGAACTGCCATCCGGAGCAACCCTGGAGGCCCTGGCTTTTGTCAGGACTTCCTGTCCCCTCTCGGAATTGAGAAGAGTGATTCTGACTACACCGTAAGCAGCAAAGCAGAGGGGCTTCCTTGGGTGGAAAGACAATGGGCTTTGGAGACAGACCTGGATTTGAACTTTGGTTCCAGCCTCCACCAGCTGAATGGTTTTGGGCCGCTTCTGTCACTTCCTGAGCCTTCAGTTATTCATGTGTCACATACAGCTGTGTCTGCCAGGGAGTCCCTGGGTGGGTGGTGCGTACGGTTAACACACTCAGGTGCCTTGGAAGAAGAGCCTGGCAATCTAATTCTGAAAAATTAGCCATTGTCAACCCTATGGAGCACAGTTCTACTATGATACACATGGGGTCGTGATGAGTCAACTTGATGGCAACTGGTTTTTTAGGCCTGCCTTGCAGGGTTAAAGGAAATGGGTGCAAAGACGTGACCACTGCTGGCACACAGCAGTAGAGGCACCACAGTGATGGAAAAGTCCCAGGGCGGCCCGGCTCACATATAACCCTGCCCTGCAATCAAGCTGGGCTTCGCTTTCTTTTCCTCAAGGTAGCATCTCAGGAGGCATGTTAGTTGTAGGGGGGCTTCATGGCTTACATTTCTTTCTTTGTGGATTAACGATTTGTCTGACTCCAAAGGGACATTCAAAGCTCTTGACAGGGTTCAGCTAATCTTTGGGAAAAACTACTCCTGGTCCTATCGGCCATAAGTTGTGAGCAAAAGGGCCAACTGGTCTTGCCTGTGCCAGGCCTCTGTGATTTAGAAGTCTTCACACCCTAGGGACCAGCCTTGGACTCCGTTTCCTACAATCAGAGAGTTGGCGCTTGAAGCTACATTGAATCATCTAGTCTAACCTCCTCATTTTAAAAATGAGTAAACTGAGGCCCAGGAAGGGGACATAGTTTTCTATTTGGGTTTTTAAAAATAGCTGAGTCAGTCTGACGGGGGCTCTCGCCACCCATCTGTGATTTCATATGGAAACTGCTACACTGTTGGCCATATCTGCATAGAGGCCAACACTTGTCTATTTTCAATGCCAAATAATTGTCTCTTCTCTGTGAAACATGGCACTTCTCGCCGTTCCGTATTTGGACAGAGAGGTTTATTTGTACTGGAGTCTGGTAGAAGTGGGGCCAGTGCCACGTCCGGATGTTATTCTACATTTCACATGCTGGTTGTAGTTGAGCCCATTAAGCAGCTCTTAGGAGGTATGGTTAAGAGTTCGGCTGCTAACCAAAAAGGTCAGCAGTTCAAATCCACCAGCTGCTCCTTGGAAACCCTATGGGGCAGTTCTACTCCGTCCTATAGGGTCACTATGAATCAGAATCGACTCGACGGCAACTATAAGGTACATGAGGTGCCCTGGTGGCACAGTGGTTAAAAGGTCAGCAGTTCAAATCCACCAGCTGCTTCTTGGAAACCCTATGGGGCAGTTCTACTCCATCCTATAGGGTCGCTATGAGTCAGAATCAACTTGATGGCACACAACACACACGAGATACGTGTTATCAGGAGGGACCCGTTCCTAGAGAAGGCCATCATGCTTGGTAAAGGGTCAGCGAAAGAGAGGAAGACCCTCAATGAAATGGATTGACACAATGGGCTCAAACATAGAAAGGATTTTGAGGAAGGTACAGGACCGGGCAGTGTTTCGTTCTGTTGTTTCACTATGAGTTGGAACCAACCTACCAGCATCTAACAACAACACAAGGAACACAGGGAATTAGTAGGTGATTGGGAATAGTAATATTTTTCTTTCACGTCATCTGCTTCTACTTTAGGTAGGGCCTGTACTCAGCTGCTGAGGCTAGAAACCCAAGAACTCACCAGGACCCCCCGCTTCCTTTCTCTGACCTCTCCAGAGGCAGTACCGTGAGAAGTTAAAGGCACAGTGGCCCAAGTTTGAACTGGGGTTCTGCTGCTCACCAGCTGCGTGACATTGGGCAGGTCACTAACTTTTCGGTGCTTCAGTTTCTCCTTTATAAAATGAGATAATACCTACTTGTGGGGTAAAAAATTAACTTTACCCAAGGAATTTGGTCTTTGTCCTTGGTTCCTGAGAGAGAACCTCTGAAACCTTGGGATTTCCTCAGTGATTGACATGTCTTTGATGAGGCCTCCAGACCACATCTGAGGGTTTACGCTAATGACGTACCTCTTGGGTGGGGCTGGCGAGGTCAGAAAGATCTTGCCCTGTGTTGTCAGCTGACCTCGGGAGGGGGGAATGATTCAATCAATCATGCCTAATGGGCCCTAATAAAGACTCTGGACATGGAAACTCCATGGGCTTCCTGGTTGGTGAAAGACTTTAATGCAGTGGGAGGGTAGAATGTCCCTTTTTGAGACAAGGTAGCTCTGCGTTGAGAATCCTCCCAGACTTTAGCCTATGCGTCTCTTCATTTGTATCCCTTTTGCTAAAATGAAAGGGTGGAGTTTCTGGGTGGTGCAAACAGTTAATGAGCTCAGCTGCTAACTGAAAGTCTGGAGGTTTAAGTCCACCCAGAGGCACCTCAGAAGAAAGGCCTGGTGATCTAGTTCTGAAAAATCAGCCGTCGTAAATCCTATGGAGCACAGTTCTATTGTGACACGCGTAGGGTCACCATGAGCTGGAATTGACTTGCCTGCATCTGGTAACGTGTAATAAAACCATAATCGTAAGTATAGTACTTTCCTAGTTCTGTGAGTCATCCTTGCGCGTTATCGAACCAGAGAGAGTAGTGGGAGCCAGCAGGTCAGAAGTGAAAGAGGCTGAGTTTATGGCTGGTATTCTGAAGGAGTATAGAGGGAACCCCCAAATTTGTAGCCAGCGGGTCAGAAGTGAGAGTGTGGTGGGGGATCCCAAGCTTGCGGTTGGCATCTGAGGTCTTGGGCAGACTTGGCAGTCGCTCCGGGTGGTTAGGGTCAGGAAGAAGTGCTGCATGTGCAGTTGAATTGGAGTTGAATTCCTTCAATATTGTTGGTGTCAGAGACGTGGAATAGATTTGCAATTGCTCTTCATGCTACCTCATAATGTTGTTGTGAGGATTACATATTTTCATATGTGTAAGGTGCTTAGAAAGTGCTTGGACCATATTAAGTGTTCAGTAAATGTTAGCTATGAATATTAATAACAAGAGTACTGTCGTCATTATTTGTACGCAGTTGGTCAGTAAGCTCCGACCATTCTTTCTCAGAAAGGTCTCTTGCAGCTGTGTTCTATCTCTGCCTCACAGTCCTTATGTGGGCCTTTTACCTGGACAAGTGCAGAGCCTCCTAACTGGTCTCTT